ATATTTATTAAGTCTTTAATAAATTCATTTTATCATTCAATTCTTACATCTGTAGTACCCATATATGTGTTCAGGCATATATGCAACCATGTAAGTCATGCAAAGTCAAATCAACATTGCATACACAATGCTCATACAGTGTTCTTTATTAATGTTAAATTAAATGTTCATATTTCATGTTTTAAATGTGTTAGATTGAAAAGAACTTGATGTCATATGCATGTTTGAGATAACAGTCTAATGCTTCTTTTCTTCTACTTTTATCAGCCCACCTTTCTTAAAAACCCATAGCCCAAATATCCCCTCATGGTAGCTATACTGGTAATCTTAAATGACTAGTTTTGTACATGGTTCTAAAAAGAACAACATTTATGACTTATGAAACTTCAGGGATATAGGTTATTTTAATAAAAATATTTTGAATGTCAAAATTAAAATTTCACAGAGAATTGGGCATTATGAATATCAAATAATTTGAATTTCTCCAATAAAATTGACTACCAAAATTAAAACATGACTAAGTATTACCTAATGAAAATTAGGTCAGATATAGTTCTGTTAAATATTAAAAATTCATTTAATAGATGAAGCATTATTTGTGAAAACAAGTTAAACAGAAATCTTCCAGTGATTTTTGCTTGGACAATAATCAATAAACATAAAATCATTGTATATCTCTGGTAAAAGGAAACATGCTCCTTCAAAATTTATAAAAAAGTGGAAGGTATGAACCAGTGTTTGATGGATGATTTTTTAAAATCTAAAATGTTCATAGGTTGGAACTATGGCTTCATGAGAGCTCAGGAGTATCATCGTCAAAGCTATTTATATTTCTTTCATTATAAGGTATATTTGTAACATATCATTGTATAAATTCATTTCAAATTTGATTGTAATGCCTCAATATTGAGTCATATTTATAACTGTATATACACATAGCAAAACACATTTAATTTATGTCTGAAAATATGCGTATTTAAAACATTTGCTTGCAAATTATTTCCACTTTCAATGATATTTTCTAGTGTTTCCAACTTACAAAGTTTGGAAGAGTATTTTGTATAGTTCATTGAAAGCAAAACTTAACACTGAATATTGAAACCAAGCTTTCTGTATGTTTTCAGATTGGTACTTGTAGATTTGAGTAAAATGTAAAAGATTGCATTAAGCCCAAAGAACTGATTAGTAAAGTTGTTAGTCAGGTACTGTACATTTTAGATCATTGTACTTTATACATGTGAGTAGTTATCTTTTCTTATATCTTTGACCTGTAAGCTTGGTGCCCACATTTCAGCCTGTCTTTACTGAACATGTCTGTCTTTACTGAACACAGTCTTAATATTGTGTTCAATTCTTCCAACTAGAGTCATTCCCTACTTCCCATGTTTTAAACAAACGAAGCTAGTACATTTATTTCTCCAATTCACCAGTTTACTTCAGTCAAATTAATGCCATCTCCTTACGTTCTTAAGTTACAATTGCTTAATCCACACACTTCATATTAAGTAAGCAAGTCTTAATGTGAAAGAAGGAATACAGATTTTAAATTTTGACTATGGGCTTGTAACTCATTAATAATCATCCTATATACACAAACTAAAAAAACTTAAAGCTGCTTTTGGTAATGAATTTAAAGAAAACACTTGATTAACAATATAGCTCATATAGTTTACTAGATGCCTACATTTGGAGTTTATGATCATTAATCCAACAAAACTGGAGAGCTACAAGTTAAGAAAAATCTGGGTTTTACTCCATTTGAATTGGACTTTCTCATATTTTAGACTAGATGAACATTTTCCATATTATCTTGACATATCAAGTTAATGTAACATTACATTATTAGGTTATAAGATTATTTGAGTTTTCAGCTTGCTTGAATAAAATCTATCCCTGTGTTATAAATGTTTGT